GGACTAGCTGGGGAGCTGGAAGATGAGAACTGGCGACTTTGTAGTACAACTGTAGTACGCGGAGTAGCTGGAGAGCTGGAAGCTGAGAACTGGCGACTTTGTAGTACAACTTTACTACGCGGAGCAATCTGTGGAGCTGGAAGCTGAGAACTGGCGACTTTGTAGTACAACTCTAGTACGCGGAGTAGTTGTGGAGCTGGAAGCTGAGAACTGGCGAGTTTCTAGTACAACTTTAGTACGCGGAGCAATCTGTGGAGCTGGAAGCTGAGAACTGGCGACTTTGTAGTACAACTTTAGTACGCGGAGTAGCTGGGGAGCTGGAAGATGAGAACTGGCGACTTGGTAGTACAACTGTAGTACGCGGAGTAGCTGGGGAGTGGGAAGATGAGAACTGGCGACATGGTAGTACAACTTGAGTACGCGGAGTATTTGGGGAGCTGGAAGATGAGCACTGGCAACTTTGTAGTACAACTGTAGTACGCGGAGTAGCTGGGGAGCTGGAAGATGAGAACTGGCGACTTGGTAGTACAACTTGAGTACGCGGAGTATCGGGGGAGTTGGAAGATGAGAACGGGCGACTTGGTAGTAGAACTTTAGTACGCGGAGCAATCGGTGGAGCTGGAAGATGAGAACTGGCGACTTTGTAGTACAATTTTAGTACGCTTCATTCGTGACACGTGGCATCACATAAAACACATCTCTATATATCTCAGGATCACAACAGCGAGCACAGGAGCATGGACGCTGCTAGGGGCTCCTGGCCTTACTACTAGTAACAAAAAGCTACTAGCAGGAAACCTACGTTTCGTTTAGTTTCGTTGCTTCTGTCGACCTTGTACGCGGCGGCTCAAGCAGACCTTTGGTACTCAAAGTGAGATTGCACAAGTCTCCACAGAACTAGGCCAGCTAGCACCAGATCGTAGCCGGGAACATACAGCAAGGCAAGAGCAATGAAGAATGTACTTGCAAGAAGTTTCAACACACCCCATAAGCTTCTCGTCAATAGGCGCACTGAGCATGGCTGCTCTGGAGGACGCCGTTCTGCGGAACTCGAAGGACGGACTGGAGGTGGTATGGACGGTTTTGTAATTCGGGGAAGAAAAAGATATCTAGATATCTAGATATAAGGTTTACAACTTTTTATAAGATTTACAACTTTTGTTAGGGACACTCAACCTGTGTTAGGGGATGGGTGTAGTGTATAGTTCAACTTTGCTGATAATCTGTTTTTATTCAAATAGGTGTCTGCTTCTGGTATCCATGCAAATTCCCGCGCCGGAAGCGGGTCAGCAGGAGCAAGGGGTACAGCGCCTGCGAGACGGACACGGCGAGGGAGGCGCGGCGTGGCTGCACGCCTAGCTGAAGGCCAAGAGCCGCGCCGACTTGCAGAAGCTATGCGCGCAGTTGGGACTAGCACAGTTTCGCGACAGCAATCGACATAGGTGCCCATCATGATGTTCGATGATCTAGGTAATCGACATAGGTGTGTAGTTGTGTTATTCATGGAAACCCTCCACCAATGGGTCGTGGTCTATTGTCCTTCCAGGGGGTCAAACGGGAGTCTCCTAGATCCAGGATTCATCAACCGATTCTGACCCAAGTCTTTGGGCAACGGATTCGCCCCGACCGTGCAGAACGCAGACTCCGTGACACGTATTCGCACTGAGTGGAGTTGATTCGGCGATCTCGGTCCTTTAAAGGGTGAACCGATCTGGTGAGTCTGGCAACAAAATATCAGACCCTAAGAATCAAGGACCCTCAAGGGTGAAGGTTTTGAGGGTCCAACCCCCTGCATTCTGCAGGGTCCAAACCCTCCATGGGGAGAGAGTCAAAGCCCGGAGCATCGCCAACAACTGCGTCGTTTCTTCGTCGGCCTGGTGACCCTTCAAAGTACCGTACCTTTGCGGCCTGGTGCGGGGTGCAGAAGTTCTCCGCTTGGTTCGAATTAGAGTGGTTGGAAAGTTAGAATCGATCGATCACACGCCGATGCAGAGGGGATTTGACCGCAGCCCTGACCGCAGCTGGGCTGTCACCGCTTGGCCGCCGGTGGGGGGTGTGGGAGGCCTGCGCGACTTATAGATCTAGGTAATCGACAGATCTAGGTAATCGACATAGGTAATCGACATAGCAGCCATGGACACACACACAGACAGGGACTCATGCACACATATCACACACAGAGACCCACGCACTGCCTCAACTTACTCGGACACACAGACACAGACATAGACGCATACACACACAGACATAGATACACACACACAGAGACCCACACACTACCTCAACTCACTCGACTTAACACTTCACACAGAACACTTGCCAAATAACTCACACTCTGACTTACTACGTGATGAACAATGCTTTCGGGCCACCCGTCGTCTAGTTGTTGTTTTCTTTCTTTTTGATGAAAAAATCCATGTCGAGCACGCCGCGTCGCAGAATCGCCTTCTCCGCGTCTCCTGTGTATTGCGTCACGAGGCCCCGGGCAGCGTGCACGAAGCCTAACCTGTCGGAAACGCGAAGAAAAACAACTCTCCCCCAAAAACACAATTCACCAACCAAAGCGCCGTCTTTCGCACAAAACAGCCCCCGGCGCGAAGGGGAACGACGCGTCGTGCTTCACCAGTTGGGCCAGCACATCGGCCGCAGGTCGTGTGAGCCAAGCGAGGCAAAGGTAATATGGCCTCTAAGGACACCTCTTAAACAAGTTATATAAGCGACAAGAAACTCAAGGACACATATTTTGCAACCAGCGATGGCCTAGCATGAACTATCTTGCGTCATGTAGCTTGAGGAACGAACACGTTTCTCCCTTACTTAAGATTCATTCAGTAGGTGACTACTTCATTAACAGGAACGGTCCCGAATCGATTCGGAACCGAACTTTCGGAACCGACAGTCAGCGAATGTCAAGAACCGAAAATTTTCATCAACCGAATCATTACAACCGTCAATTTTCCAAACACAACCGAACCGAAAAGAAAAACGAACCGTTCCGCTGTTCCGCTGTGACGTTTTTCAGACTGTCCAAAGTCTTGAGTTTCAGAGCAGCAGTCCCCCACTGGAATGTCCATACAGCATGTCACTGGCCCGGCCCGGCTTCAGGCCGCATTCATACAATGCTTTCCTTTCCTTTTCCTTTTCTTGGCTTTCCTTTCCAATATGCTTTTTGGAAGGCTTGCAAAAAAGCATATTCACAAATTGCATTCCTTCCCCATGCTTTTCCTTTTCTATTCCCTTTCTTTGATTTCCTTTCCTTTCCTTAAAATAATTACTTTCCTTTCCTTTCCTTAAAATAATTACTTTCCTTTCCTTTCCTTTCCTTTTGCTTTCCATTTTCCCTTTTTCTCCTGTCCTGTCCTGTCTTGTCTATAGTCTAGTCTAGTCTTGTCTCTTTATCGTTGCCTTTCTTTTCCTTGCCCCACTGCGAAACTTATACCTCACAGGACCGAAACGAATCGTGAACTGAACCGAAAGTCCAAGAAAAAATCCTGGCGCCGGCCACGCGCCCGTGTCCTTGCCGGAGGTCTTAATGGTAACTGAAGGTTATTTAAGGGGCTGACGCCCAACAGCGGGCCAGCAGGCAACAAAGGAGTATGCCTCCCTGTGTCAGAGATAACACAAGATGGCCCCAAGACAGCCCCAAGATGGCGGAGGATAGTCCCGAGATGGGCCTACATAGGGCCAACAAGGCCCCAAAATGGCAACCCATAGCCCCAAGATGGCTCAACATGTCGTTGTCGTTGTTGCTGCTGTGTTTGGGTTTATGATTGTGGTTGGGGTTGTTGCGGTTGTGGTTGTGGTTGCTGTTGGTGTCGTGGGTGTTGTGGTTGTTGTTGTTGTGGTTGTGGCGGTTGTTTATGTGGTTGTTGTCGTTGTGGTTGTGTTTGTGGTTGCGCTTATCGTTGTGGTTGTCGTTGTTGTTATGGTTGTGGTTGTGGTGGTTGTTGTTGTCGTTGTTGCGGTGGTGGCTGTTGTGGTTGTGGTTGTTGTTGCGGTTGTCGTTGCGGTGGTCGTAGGCGTTGTGGTGGCGGTTGCTTAGATGAACCCTGTGCCTGCTAAGTACTTAGAAAGGTTATCTTAATTAACTAGATAAATGTTAGACATATGTTAGATGTATGTTAGAAGTATGTTAGATAAGTTAGATACATGTTAAATGGTTAGGGCTTTAGGAAGGTTTGCTAAAAGAAAAACAAGTTAGGCTAACCTTGTTAACTCTGCTAACGTTTAGCAGGTGGTTAGCTCAAAAGTTAGCTAAGTTAGCTCAAAAGTTAGCTAAGTTAGCAATTATTTTTCAAGCATCCAAAAAAGATATTTTTTCAACCACTCTATATGTTTCTTTTGTTGGTGTAGTTTTTTGCTCAAAAAAGCATTTGTAAGAATGCAAAAAATTTACCAGAGTAATGAAATACCGCAAGATCAGCAAAAAGTTTTTACAATATGATTCATGTTTGTAAACCACCAAGCTGAAAGCAACCAACAGCTATCATAATGATATTTTGTTAAAGGCCAGTGCTGCTATATAATTGAAATTCTTTGCGCTGTTCTTTGTTTTTTGCCAGCAAGCTTTAATTGGCTTTGGAAGCATTGCCTTTTTTGCAAGCATTGGTTGCTGCCTTTTTGCAAGCTGGAGATGGCTAAGTGCAAGCACTTGGTTGCTCTTTTGTGGAAGCACTTGATTGCTCTTTTGGTGAAAGCCTTGGCAGGCTTTTTGAAGCAAGCCTGTGTTGGCTTTTGGACGCAGGCCTTGGTGGCTTCTGTGTGATGCACTTGTTTGGTTTTTCTCCCTGCAGTTGTGGCACAATGCTTGAACCATGGTTCAACATGAACCTCCACAAAGCAGAATGTAAACTCGCACAATGATGCCATTGCAGCAGTTGAACATGTTGAAGTGGTCACATGACACACTCACAACCACCTGCACACAAAGCTGGATGAGGTGAAGCTGGATGAGGTGATGAACAATGAAGATGTACTTATATTGAAAAGAGTTGATCAACTGGGCGAAACGCTACAGAAGAATGGATATGGGTACAAAGCAGTGGATCCCTCCAACAGAGGAGGCTCTCTGTTGAACCCGATTGATGTTTGGGAGAAGGGATTGAGAATGGTGTCAGTGGGGGTCAAGCGCACATTGCCCGAAGGAAATGGCATGGATGGCCTTTGAAATGAGCACTGACCAGGATACCAGACTTGCTCAAATCCAGGCCAATGAAAGTGTTGTGAGGGCAGCAAATGGGTGCCTTGCAAAGGTTTACAATGGAAGAGCGTTTCCTGACTGTTGCAACTTCTCACACTTCTGCCTTTTGCCAGGCCATTGAGCAAGGACTGAAGAGTTGTGAAGGAGTCTCAGTGGACACAAAATCAGACAATGGACTGTGCAAATTGGTCAATGAAGACTGGCCAATGTTTGTCATCAGCGAGAAGATTGAAAGGAACATGCCTTCATTGCCTGCTTGGCTGCAAATGGCCATGAACTCAATGAACTTGGGCTTCAAGCAGGTCAATGAGATTGAAGCAGCAGCTTTGAGTTCATCAAGCATGGCAAAAGCTTGAATGAAGCCAGAGCCGCAGTGGAGAAGTCCGACCCTCTTTGCAGGCCCCAGCTGGGCGCCATTGCTTACTATGTGGGCAGATATGGAGGTGGTGAGCAACAAGGCCTACTGAAGTTTCTCTCTAAGTTCAGTGTCTTGGCCACATGTTTTGCTTTCAAGTCAAAGTGGCTGTGATCGCAAGCCTTCATGGCTTTGTTTGCAAGCTTTCATGGCTTTGTTTGCATTGCAAGCTTCCATAGCTTTGGTCATGCTTTGATTGCAAGCTTTGGTGGCTTTGGTTGCAAGCCTTTCTTGGCTTCTGGCTTCATTTCAATTGCGCAAACTCTAAGGTAAAGTGTATGGCAGCCTTCAAGTGGGCACTGAAATGATGAATGGCATTGCTTTTATGGATATGAAGGGCTCTACTTGCCTATGCCCCTTCCTCAGGTGTGCAATGTGGCTTGGCTGTGAGCATTGGTGTTGATTTGTGCATAGGTGTTGCTTGTTCAATGTTTAGCAACAGCTATAGATGGTGCATTCACAATCTCTTCAGGTGGTGTACAATGATGAGCTGTACCAAAAGCCAAGATGGATATTCCAAAATCTTGAGATTGTGATCGATTGAAAGGATTAAACGAAAGAGAGGAAGTGGACAAGTGTGAGCACTTTGGCACCACATTGGCTAAATACTGCTAACTGTTTACATGAATAAAAACATGTGAAGCTTGAGCTTGAGCATGTTTGATGAGATTTGCCAAACATGAATTGCCAGGCGATTGCTGCTGGACAGCTGGAAATTGAAGGAGAAATCTCCACAAGATGAGAATGTCAGAGTTGCAGTGTTTGGAAGGCTTTGTGTCCTGCAAGACTGTCTAGATTTACATTTTAATTTTAGAATTTGAAGCTGTGGTGCCTAGATTCAGAATCTGAATCTAGACACAGGAGCCTCAGTGCCTAGATTCAGCATCTGAATCTAGGCACAAGATCCACAGTGCATAGATTCAACAGCTGAACCTAGGCACAAGAGACTCAGTGCCGCTGAATCTAGGCACAGGAGCGATTCAGACGCTGAATCTAGGCACTGAGGCTCCTGTGTCTAGATTCAGATTCTGAATCTAGGCACCAGAGCTTCAAATTCTAAAACTAAAATCTAGACAATCTTGCTGAAATCAGTATTTTTCAACCCACTGTGTCCTGCAGAAGGAGGCGTTTTGCTTCCACAAAAAGGTGGCCCTGCATTACGCTTGTTTGGTCAATTGCACGCCATACTCCAAGATGGCAGTGGACACAAGCACACCTACAGTTCCAAAGGCGACAGTGGTTGGAAATATTGCCTCTTATTTTCTGCACATGGAACAGTGGTGACATCAGCAAATGAAGATATGGGAGAAGGGGAGGAAATTGTTACACATCCTCAAGTCAAATTATCACAGTTGCTGGTGCACAGTGACAATGAAATATTGTGAAGCTTTGACAGGCTGGAAGAAAAGTTTCATTCAATGCCCAAAGGCCAATTTGAGATTTGGCAAAAACCTTGTGGGTTGACCTATGCGACATGCTGCCTGTTGTTGGACAAGCAGTTACGGTGGTCAAACATATTGCAGCCAGCAAAGCAGTATTGCCACGATTGGATGCATTGCCTGGTGTCAGCTGGTATCATCCAAGTGGCCATATATATGATTTGCTCAAACCTTCCTACTGGCACTGGTTCGTCCATGGTTCATGATTACTTGGAGCTGTGGGTGTGCCCACAGCACTTGCCACAACAATTGAAGACTTTGTCCGATTCCGAACATGTTAAGAAATACCAACAAAACAAGAAATTTGGTTGCCAGGCCAGTGAAGCCTTGAGCATTGCGCCAATTCTGGTTCATTTGGTGAAAACATTGTTGCTCCCCAAAGGATTTCTTGGTCCAAAACTGTGTGAAGCTTTCCTGGCCTGCGCAAGCCTTTTGGATTTGGTGCACTTGGGCCAAGTGTGGGGCATTTGCACTCCTAAGGCCCTATTGGACGCAGCAGAACAATGTTTGGCCAAGTGGATTGACGCAGGCTTGCAAAGCTTAATGATCAAAAAATCCACTGGACATTGCATTTGGCCAGTGCACTGCAAAGATTTAAACAATTGCCTGCTTGCTTTGCAATGGAGACGAAGCATCGATTGATTTGCAAGTTTGCTTCCAAAGTATGCAATACATTGGTGTATGAGCAAACATTGCTTCAAGAGTGCTTGGCTGAAGAACTGTTCCATTTGAAGCAGCCTGGGTTGTTTGCAGAAGGAATCCATTTGGTCAATGGCCACAAGACAAACAAGGAATTCCATACTTTAATGGAAATGACATTTGGCCACAAAATACCAGTGGAATTTCTTGAAGTGGCTGCAGTGTGCAAACTGGAGAAGGCAATGTGCACCAAGGCAGACATTGCACTGGCAAAACCTTTTTCTGCAGTGGAAGCGGTCGCCTTTGTGGCATATTGTGGCAATGTTTTTGCCTTTGCAAAAAAGTTTTCAATTGGACATGGATGATGAAGTGCATGGGTCCACTGTCTGGCTTGATGCAGGGGAACATTCTTTGGTGCCTGCAACTGATTTGCTGTGCCCAAGCAGAAACAAGATCACAACATTGATACCTTGGCAAGTGCGATTGCATTTGAAGAAGCAATGCCAATGAGCACTGCAGCCATGTGACACTGCATGCAGAAAAAGCTGCTGGCTTTGCCACAGCAAGCATTTCTTGGCTGTTTCATTGCAAGCTTCACTTTAGCTTGGTCATTGTCATTGCAAGCCTCTATTGGCTTTGTTGCAGCAAGCCTGCTTGGCTTTGTCATTGCAAATAGTGCATTGGCTTTATCATGGCAAGCATCACATGGGGATGTGTCAGTGCAACTTGGTTTCTTTTTCATGGCAATTCTTTTGCATTGGCTTTGTCATTGCAAGCTTTCTGAGCTTTGCCATTGCAAGTCTTGTTGGCTTTGTTATTTATAGTTGGCTTTGGCATGTCAAGCTTTCATGCTTACAAACCATTGCAGGCCTTCCTTGAATAATGTTCCTGCAAGCATTGTTGGCTTTGTCAATGCAAGCTGTCTTAGCTTTTTGTAGCAACACGCTTTGTTTGCTTTCTTTGAGGCAACAAGCTTCCACTGCCTTTGGCATTGCGAGCTTCCAAGCTCTGAGCAAGCTGTAATGGCTGTGGCATTGCATGCATGCTTCAATTGCTGAATCGATGCTGTTTTGATATCAAACCAAAAATGCTTAATTTCGTAACGTACATATTTTTTTAACCAACCAAACAAGCATTTTTGATTGAATATAACGAATATTTGCGATGGGTGCTCATTGCAAAAATGCAAGGCGCAACACAACAAAATCTTTCAATAGCTCTTTTGCATTTCATTTCGATCCAAAAAGCAAAAAAGTTCAATGTGTGTCAATTAAACATGTATCTCCAAAGTGATTTTAAGCGAGGTGCCATCACTTTTTTCCTAGGAGTATCTGATACAAAATAAGTACTTAGTAAGTACTTAGCTAATTAGGTTAACCTTGCTAAGTACTTAGCAGGCACAGGGTTCATCTAAGTGTGGTTGTGGTCGTTGTCGTTGTGCGTGGTGTTGCGTTTGTCGTTCTGGTTTTGGCTCTTGCTGTTGTTGCTGCTGTGGTTGTGGTTGTGGTTGTGGTTGTGATTGTTGGTCTTGTTGTTGTGTTGGTGGTGGTGGTCGTTGTGGTTGTCGTTGGTGGTTGTTGTTGTTGTGGTTGTGGTTGCGGTCGTTGTCGTTGTCGTTGTGGGTGGTGTTGCGCTTGTCGTTCTGGTTATGGCTCGTGTTGGAAAGGGGACCTCGCCAAGGCACGTGCGACCCGCCTCGGCCGGCATAACTCGCACCACGGGCACCACGTTGGCGCCATGTGACGACAAGGGGTACCCCCCCAAAACGATGTTGAGCCAAACGCAAAATACGTGGAAAAACACACGATAGGAGTGGGTCGGCGGCAGGGGGGGCGCCCCGTTATACCTGAAGGTATTCGCCTAGCGGCGAAGGGCCTTCGGCCGGGACAGGGCCTGCTGGCCTGATATACGAGGACCCCCCTGCCGCCGACCCACCTCACACGAAACCCGGTCGAACTTTTACCTTGTAAATTACAATAGATTCTGCGCCTCCTGATCTTCCATGTCCATCCAGCAACATCGGCCTTGAAAGGCCCAACATATCCCCAAGATGGCCAACATAGGCCCAAGACAGGCTCAACTTGGCCCAAGATAGGCCAACATAGGGCCAAGATAGGCTCAACGTGGGCCCAAGATGGCCCAACATAGGCCCTAGCTGGGCCAACATAGGCCTTAGATGGCCCAACACAAACCCAAAATGGACCCAACATCGCCCCACATAGCCCAAAGATGGTCCAACATAGGCTAGCTGGGCCAACGTGGGCCCAAGATAGGCCAACATAGGCTCATATGCCCAACATAGCACCAGGATGGGCCAACATAGCCCCAAGATGGCCGGCGCCCGGCTGTCAGGCGTAAGCCTTTCACACTGTCAGGCGTAAGCAATTCACACTTCTACAACCAATCCGAACCGATTCGAAGTTTCAATCAAACATTCAAACCAATTCCAACCGAACCGAAACCTTACTGATTAAGCAGGATCGGACCCAAAAAGTAATTGAAACAACGGTGTCACAACACCTCATGTCAGCCTGTCAACGTGGTGCCCACTCCCCACTCCGTGCCTCTCAGACACAAAGAGTGAAAAGAAAATGTTAGCTTCCTTGGTCAAGCGATCGCAACGAGGTGTACTGCGCAACGCACCTTGATTACACCGTAGCATGGGAAACTCGATGAAGTACAAAATGTATGGTGACAAAACACATGCCACCAGGTGAAGGCCATAGTTGTTGGAGGGAGGCCATCGATGGGTTGGAGGCCATTGCTCTTGGGTCATTATCCTTTTGTTTCAGGAGCGATAAGGACGCTACTAGGAGCAAAGGGCATCGCTACTAGGGGCTTTTTATTGATATATGTGCGTTGCACACAGTGGCGCGGTCGAACGCGGTGGGCATGCCGCCTTTTCACCCGACTATGCCCCTCGAGCCTTCGAGGGAATCCGCAAAACAAATGTGAAGCGACGACCAACCACGAGCAAGCGACGGTCGAACATGCTGCAGCCAAGCGAAACACAAATCACGGCTCCACAAGATTCTTGTTGGAAATTAGGTTGATTCGACCGCCCTTCAAAAGCCCGTAAAGAGGGTCCAAATTCACCTCTTTCTTCGTGAGGCCATCCACCACTGGTCTCTGCTGAGACCACAGGTCTCTGCCATGAATTTGTAAAGCCGTGCGCTTGTCGCTGGCTGTGCCTATGCTGTCGATCCTTGGTGAGGTGATCGAAAAAGAGACTTGGCATCTACGATACCGATGCTCTCTTTGAGCTCGGAGGCGCATTCCTCACTCACTAGTGCCCGCAGCTGGCGCTTCTGGAGGCGCTCCTCCCATTCTTTCATCTTGAGGTGGGGGTGGGGGTCAGTGAGCTCGTTGAACACTGTTGCCGTCCACGAATGCCCCGAGATACTGCGTCTCAGCCGCTAGGGTGGAGTCTACCAGCCTGTTGGATCTTCCCGCTGCCCATCCCAGTTCGTCCATCGGGATGTGTTGGATCTTGAAGCTCAGAGCCGCCTCCTACTTGACATTCCTTATGGCCTTGTTCAAGTCAAGCGCGTCTTGAATCTTGAGGTTCGCCAGACACGGTGCGGCGAGGCTCACCATTGCCGCTCCATCAGGTCGCCCATTGTCAGACTTCCCACTCCAGCTCTGGTGAGGTTCTTTTCTTCTGGAGATGCCATTTCGTTTGGGCGCGCTGCTCTTCCAGGGGCCAGCGGAACCTCTTCAAGCCGTTTTGATGAATTTCTCCATGTCAATCTTCAGCTCGAAGGAGGGGGGTTGTTGGACCCTCCTTCCTTGAACGGGGTCTGTGTGGGTTTCCTGCAGGAATACGAACTTGCCGAACTGGGCGCGTTCTCTTAGTTTATCCGTTTGTTGAAAAAAGTCGCCATCGCCGCCATCGCCCATCCTGAAGAGGTCGTCAACCTGCACCACTAGCAGTCCGCTCAAGCGGCCTCCTTGGAACATCTTGTAGACACAGCCGGCCAGGATCTCAATCAGCTGTCCCGGTTTTAGTCCAGGTAGTCCGGCCGGATGCCCGTCCAATCAGTCAGACTGCATGAAAGCGTTCCTGAGATCTCCCATGGCAGCCTTCCGTTTCATGCTAGCTCCAATCTGCAGGACAACGGACAAAGTGGCCGCGGTGATGGTGGGAACATGCCTCACAAGGTCCAGAATGTCAGGATCTTGGTCTCCTCTGACGCACCATCGGCTCTTGCGGGTTGCGGGCTTTCTTTATGTTGTTCACTCTTCTTCCATCTCCTGACCATTCTCGAGGGCAGAATCCTGGAGCTCAAGCCTGCCTTTTGAAGTTGGGTGGACACTGAGCAGGACTCTTCTTCAGACAGCGCGTGGAGTGGACGTTACTCCACTCAGCTCCGTCTGCGACGTGCCACTGTTCCAACTCTTCTGAGTCGATGTCTTCTTCTCTCACTTCACACCATGAGGCTCACTGCTTGGGGCGCTTTACGGAGCTTGAACTCCGTGTAGCCTGTCCACCACCTATACTGGGCGCAGATCACATAAAGTTAAGGCGTCTAGTGACATGAGGAATAGAGTAGGTAAGTCTTGTGTCATGTCAAGAAGAGCAGGATGAGATAGGACTTGCAACACACACACACACAGGCAGCCCACGCACACCTCCCGGCAGCAACAAAACCGACCTGGTATAGCTCTGCAATCTGGGGGGAGTTAGAGGCCGGCTTCCACAGTAATCCCAAGCTTGGGAATGTGTGAGTCCCCATGTATGTGTTCTAAATCCCGTGTCATCCGAAGTAGAGATTTCTTTTGGCCTTGCTGTGGAGGCTTGGCTTCTCCAGTTGCCCCCTCTCCATGTGCGTGCGCCCGTCTCCGGTGATCTTGATGGTCTTTTTTGTGGGTTCAGAAACTTGACCGGAATTGGGCATCCCCGGCAGTTCCTTAGCATTGGAGTCCACGGCCTGTTGGACGACGTCTGGAGGGATCTGCTGCGCATCTCCAGCGTTGGAGCCGGAAAGTTCTTCAGGTTTTTTGGGCTGGCTCTGAAGTGGTTGGAGCTGCCTGTTCTCTCATGGTCGGAGTGCATTCTCCGTCATCCTCTTGGTCTTGAGGAGGCGCCAGTCTTCTTCTGCTGACTGGAGGTTCATCATCTTCTTCAAATGGCCGCCTCTCCCATCGAGTGACATCCTTCTCTTGCTTTCTTTCCTGGCCATCAATCTCTGCAGTTCTTCAGTGGCCTTCCTGAGCTGCTCTTTGGCGCGCTTCCGTAGTTCTCCTAATTGACAACCATGAATTGGCGCGCTCTGTCATAATGATCGTGGCCGGACCCACCCAAGTGGTTCTTCTTCCATCTTTGTCTTCCAAGCTGTCATCGTGCTTGGGTCTTCGGGGTGGAACTCTTGGGCGACACGGCCTCAGGCTCTGCCTGCTTCTGGAGGGCTATGTGCGTGGTGAGTTTCACGAAGGCGTGCGTGGCCAGATGTCGCAGCTTGAGCGTGCGTTGTACTTCACTGCCGGCAGCATGTAGCACCAATGCGGGATCGTATGGATCATCTGATCCCAGACTGGCTGGCAGCCGAATGTTGTGTCCAAGTTGGCGTTGAGCTGGACTGAATCCGCTTCGGTTGAACATGCAGTTCTTGGCAGACTCCAACGAGGGAATGCATTCTTTCCACTCGGCCTCATTGGTAGGAAGCAGAAGATCTCCTTTGCTAGTCCTCCGCGACATTCAATCCTTCTCTGTTGCCATGGCGCTTTGGCTCCAATCACTTTCGTGATTCGTGACCGGTCCAGCTTCGGAGAGCTCGGTGGCGAAGTCTTTGCCAAACTCTCTTCCTTGGTCCACCACCACACATTCCGGAACTCCGAATACTCGAGCCCAGGTAGACATGAACTTGCGCCAGATGTGGTCGGACTGCGTGGACTCTAGAGCTGAAATCCCATGGGCCAGCCTACCATTGTCAACACCGGCTTCACACTACGCACGTCCAAAACTGTGAAGTACATCACACATCTATTCCGACTGTGCGAGCAGGCTCAAACGACTTGGGAAGCATCGCAGGCCGTCTTGCACTTTTGGGCTTGGGATGTTGTTCACATACGGGACACTTGAACTCATTCTTTACATATTGCCACACTGCACTGCGAGCCCTGCTCATCCTCAAGGCCTTCCAGAACTAAACAATTCCTGGGTGTCCCAGGTTGCAGTGCAGCTTGTAAATCAGCTTCATTTCCTCCTTGGTGAGGTGCTGATTGCTGGCGTTCTCTTTCTCCGCGCCACGCACCATTGCTCTGCATAGTCCCGCAGGGTACTTCTGGGCTAGCTTGGCAACGCCGCCTATCAGGGTTGGTGTTGGTGTTCATGATGGCATCTCTTGCTGAGGGCCCTGGCCACGTGTTCGCTATTCACCTTGAAGGTCGGTGGGCTTCTTGCTGGGCATTCCTTTGACTGCCATGCCATATTGGCATTGGTCAGCTCTGCCTCTCTGCACTCATCTTGAGAACTGCTTGAACCACCTCCTCATCCCAGGCTCTGGCGGATTTGCCACAGGAAGACTCGCGCGCCGAAGGCCAAATGGTATAACCTGTCTGGAGATCAAGGCGCCTCCAGACTGATGTCACATTTTCTCAGCTTCCTTTGACACTCAGTTTCTTCATGTGCTTCTGAATGGCTTTTCTCGAGGGTCCTGGCACATAGGCCATAGGCATCTTCGCTTGACTGACCATTGGCAAACACGCTGAAGACTTCGCAGTCTTTGGAAAGGCATGTCGGACGGGCAAACTTCCATTCGTGCTTTGGACTCTGCCTGGCCCAGAATCCCGGGTCACCCTTTTCTCACGCTCCTCCTTGTCAAAGTACTCTAGTTGAAGAGGAGCTGTGCCCTGTCAGGAGGCTCCAAGCGTCCTCCGCATCTTCCGTCGGTCCCTCGAATGTCAGCACTGGGTGGCTGTTGCCTGCTGCTGCATCAGCATCTGTCGATACACCATGGCCTTCTGCATGGTCTCCTGCTGCAATGCAGGATTTGTGCAGGTTTGCTGCATCTTCTTTTCTCCCACCATGGCCGTCATCCACAGCAGTTGATTCTGCAGCGCTTCCTTCTTGCGCTCGTGGAATGCCTGCTGCTCTCACATCAGGGTCTGACGGCGCTCCTCGGCCACTTCCATGGTCTTGGTCACGAGCTCTTGCTTCTCCTTGTGCAAGATCTCTTCGATCTCCTTCGCCTTGGCAGCCTTGGCAACTTCCTCCCTCTTCATCCGTTCGTTTTGGAGCTGATGAATTTTCTCGGGGCCCCACTCAAAGAAATCGCAGATCCTTCTTGGGCACTTCCAAAAAAAACGTCCTTGGGTCTGCTGACTGGCGAGGGAGTTGGGGAGCATTCAACTGCACGGATTTGCCCGGTTCACCGTGATGATGGGCTGTTTCTGGGCGATCTGCTGCATCACGTTGGGATCCACCAGCCAGCGGCAGGGGGCTTGTTTGCACTTTCGAAGTCCCAGGAAGTTGCCACCCTTGATGATCTCCGCATAGATCATCTCCTTGGCGCTGAGGCACGCTTGACATGCCTGGTGTGTAGGAATACACCGATGCAGGGGGGCGCAGTATAGTGACATGAGACAACAAGGGCAATCCAGGCGTGCAGCCACTTTCTTGCCAGCCTGAGACCCTTGCGGTGGCCTTTGCCAGCTCCATCACGTCCCACACTTTCAGTATGGTTTGGTGCCATCACGTCCCACACTTTCAGCATGGTTTGGTGCCAGTGCTTGATGGCTCGATCTGAGTCGTGGGCGCGGGCCTCTCTTCTCACACCTTGTCCAGCTTCTTTACATTTACATTCGATCCTGACCCTCCATGTGAACATGAAGTTGTAGGCTGGAACGGCTACAGGAGAGATGTGGAACTCATTGGGAGCGAACTGCAACACACTGATTGCCACATGACCCGTGGGGAGTTGTTGAAGTTGGCCTGAGTGTCCGAACGCTTGAAGGTGCAGGCGGTTCTCTGCTAGATCTGCCTTCGCCTGATGCTCAAACCTGATGGACAATAGAAAAGGAACTTCGTCTTCCACCGCTGTGGCCTCAATGACCCCGATGACCGGCCACGCCCACGGGAATTTCGACGACTCCGATGACCTTGGCCTCACCTCCTATGCCTCGCGCTTGTGCTTGTTTGTCGGACCAACGAACTTGTAGTCCATGACTCATGAGGGCTTCCCGAAGACGATCTAGCGCTGGCTTCCCTATATGAGACCCCCTTATGCACATCTGAGAGTGCGTGGTCAAACCGACGAACCGCTGGTTGTTGTCCTCCTTCCTCAAAAACTGCTTCAGGGTGACCTGGAAATTGATGTCCTGTGAAGGGGATGAGTTACCAACCTCAAAGAATCCAGTGGTACCCGTTGACGAGGATGGAGCTCCAGCTTTTCCTTGGCACGGGCGTCTGGCTCGTTCACGCATTCGCGTGCCCAGTGGCCGACTTGGCCGCAGCGAGCGCACTTTGTGCGAAGCTTCAAGAGATCTACATGGACCTTCGTGCCCTGGTGGGTGAACTTGATTGGGTTCTTGCCCTTCCCCTTGCTCTTGCCGTGCCCTCTTGACTGAGCACCGGAGCTACCTGATGGGCCACAGTAGCCTCGCTGAGTCTTTTGGTCTTGGATGGCCTTTCGAACTTGCTGGTAGGTCGCCAGGGCTTCCTGGATGTCATCTTCCTCGTAGATGTGGTTCAGGTCATCTTCCCCCACATACACGCTGCTTCCATCGCTGCCCTCGGGGAGCTCTTGCAAGAACGTCTCGTCCGTCAAATGGTGTTTGCCGTTCTTCTCTTTCCGGTCCTTCTCTGGCTTTCGCAGGGCCTTGATGACTTTGCTTCGCCCCAAATTTTCCGTTCGTCCAGGTGGTCCCTTGGTCTTCTTGGATCTGGCTCAAGTTGCTCTGGCGGTACATGGTGTACCCAGTTCTCGAAAAGCTGCTTCCTGCCGGAGGATGAAGTCACCCAGAGACTCTTTCCCTCGCCGAGAATCTCCGCGCACGGCCTTCTCAAAAGCCTTTGGCATCGTGGTTTCCAAGTGGGGCTGGTACAGCGGCTGGTAGTGCTCTTTGAGCTTGGCCAGGATGTTGTCCAGCCCCTTGTCCGTGGTGATCTCCTCGACCTTCAGCTCGTTGCGCGCGGCTCTCGCCGATCCTGTCAAGACACGGAGCAGCTTGACGCCGTGCTTCTTCTCTGGAATCTCTGTGTCGAAGCGCCATAGCTTCAGGTCTCGCTCAAACTGCTTGAAGTTTGCCGGGTCTCCATCAAAGCCTGGAGGTAGGTCTCGATCCCTCCAGGGGAGCCCCAGCCACGGCAGCAGAAGAGGCGCCATTGCTTTGACCTCCCTGGTCTCCCATGGACCAGCTCCGCTACCACTGTGTATTGCACACAGTGGCGCGGTCGAACGCGGTGGGCACGCCGCCTTTTCACCTGACTATGCCCCCTGAGCCTCCGAGGGAATCTGCAAAACAAACGTGAAGTGACGATCAACCACGAGCAAGCGACGGTCGAACATGCTTCAGCCGAGTGAAACACAAATCACAAAAAATATAAAGCGAACGAACTCATAGCTGCTCCAGGGGGCTGATTTGTTGAGCACTCCGTCCCCATCTTTGTCGTGTCGTTGGAATGCCTCCACAATGAAGGGAAAAAGCTTGCCTCGGCAGACTTTTTACCGACTTCTAGCTTCTAGGAACCAAATCATTACTGCGAGCATGAGCTATCGGGGCGAACTGCGCTCATATTGCGGCAATTTGTGCGCGTTTTGCGGAAATTTGCGCACGCTTTGCGGGTTTCCACCTTTGGCCCAAGAAGACTTCCGTGTTCAACATCTTGAATTACACCAGCATAGACCCCAGATAGCAAAAACACGCAACATTTTTCTGGACTGCACCCTGCATTGGCAGCTCCAACGCACACGCAGGGACCTTCTTTACACTGGAAAACGCCAATGTTCTTGCTGCTTGGGAGTAATAATGCGCATAGAGCGCGTGCCATCTATGGGATGCTGCATTTCGACTCATAGCATGGTTTGTGAATCTGGCGCTTCAAGAATAGATCTGATTGACTAAACCATCTTCACTCCATCCTGCATTTTTACGAGCACCAACGCTTTGAAAAACTCTAAAATTACATTACATCATCTTCAGGCGCATATACGGATGTTCACGCAAAGCTCCATCAACCACATCCACAGCTGTGGAATGAGAGCGTGCGGAACCATGTTGGCTCCAAAGTCAACTGCCCCGCAGTTCGCCAGCTTTCCAAGCACCCTGTCTCCACCGCGCGCGCAGCCAGCTCACAGCGCCCAGCGCCAGCACCCGGCGACGGCGCCCTGTCTCCACCAGGCGCGCCGCCAGCTCCCAGCACCAGGACCCGGCACCGGCGCCGCCGGCACCCTGTCTCCACCACGTGCACAGCCAGCTCGCAGAACCCAGCGCCAGCGCCACAGGCAGCACCGGCACCCTGTCTCGAAAGCGCACGCAGCCAACTGATTTAAAGTAAGAATCCTATCTGGGGAAAAATGTTCGTTTCATGAAGAACATTAAAGCGTGCTCGTTGGTTCGTCAGAAAAAGTGCTACGATTGAAGGTTCAGGTAGGTAGTCGGGAAAAGAGATTGCAACTTCTCTGCTATCTGCTTTCGCCGTGAGGACCGCCTGACGTAGAGCATGCCTCGCCTGGGATCCCTGTCTTATATGTCATGGATGAGCACCTTGTTGCCGACTGAGCAGGTTGCTACCCTTTGGCATTGCGCTAGATGTGCATTGGCTAAGCGCTGGCAAAGGCTTTCGGTGGATGGATTCCAAGCGGCCGCGCAAGGCTGGTGAACCCATCAAGTCCCACAACATGTCCGGGTAGGGAGGCCCTGCTGGTCAATCTTTCAATCGATCTGGTTCTTGAGTAGCTTGCGTTTCAGTTTTGCCAATGTGCCAAAGGGTACGTACAAAACGTCGGAAAAGTGGTTTTGCTGGTTACACCTTTCCGATGTTTATGTCTACTTTCCATCGTGACCCCTGAGGCAATCTCGTGAAGGAAAGTCTTGCAAGGCCGGCAGCACCAGGGCGTTAGCCGCTTTAGTCCGTTCCACATCTGGTCCGTTTCAATGCAACTGAACTCAGTCGCCGCCCTTGGGATGCTGCCGTTGAGCTGTCTTACAGCTGCAGGTTTGTTGATCAGTGTTGTATCACAGTGCGCTTTGATGAGCTGGAAATACCTCAGCGCAAAGCAAATTAAAAAACAAACGCAAAGCAAACACGAAGCGAACGCAAAGCGGAGCAATTGTTGAAAGGAGGAGCAATTGTTGAAGCACCTCCGCAAGGGTATCAGAATAATGTGTATACGGTGGGTATACATATATATATATGTATACAAAGACACATGTGTGTGTTCACCTCTGTTTTCAAGAGTCAACACTCATTTTCAAGCAGAAGGGGCTGGAGAGTGCATCAGATGTCTCCAGCCGACGAAGACGAATCTGTTGCACTGTGATATAACTCTGGGACGCCAGAGCTACATACCTGCTTTTTTGGAACTGTTGATCAAGCTGTCTACCCCCATTTTCCTTCTAGAGCTGCCGCGCTTGTATTCAAACAGTTCTGGTTAGCTGACGATTCACCATACTGTTCCTGCGAGTCAAGTGCTGAGTAGTCACTCGGCGAATCCATACTGAAATTTACGCTCCTTCACTGGAGCTATGAATCTAAATGTGTCCAGCTGCATCTTCCCACTTGCGTGTGCAGTGTGATCCCCTTTCGGGGTGCTGAAATCAAAGCTGATACCCCCATTGTCTGAAACTGATCCTGCACAAAAATGCGGAACACTTACTGCCGAGTTCACGGATTTTTCACTGATTTTCGTTCTGCAGTCTTGAGTAATTCACTTCTCGCCTCTATCTCTGTTCGTTGCCAGGGAAAGCAGCCTTTTGAAAACTAAGCGTTGCCAATGCCGCCTAATGCGTTGTTTCCCTTTGCATAAAGTGCTACTGGGAAGAACCGTGGGCTTATAAAGGTTAGTAGGCTGTATAAGTGCATTTATAACATATATATATATGGTATAAGTATGGTATAACATGGTATACTATAGTATAACTTCCATAACACTTAGCAACTTAAAATCATAAGTCCTAGAAACTTTACAACAACTTCACATCATTTATGTATAGTTTTATAAACATTTAGCATAGTTATAAGTAGTTAGTCTGATTTGGTTATAACTGGTTATGAGTAGTTATCTAAATACATATGTACACATATTTTTATGTGTTTTTCAAACATAAATGAGTGCTAATGCAACCAACATAGAAATAAAAAACACAAATATTTGTATGCAGCAAGTGATGACAGGGATTGATGA